GGGGGGGGGGGGGGCTTCGCGTAGCCGCGGGGATGGAGGGGGGGGCAGGTGGAGTTCGGCTGTGATACTTCGGCGTTTTCGGTGTCCATCTCTGTGTTTCTTGATGCACCAGTCGGCAATGGCGCTTCGAACGGTTACGTGCCCGTCATCTTCTGTGTGGAAGTGCGACGTCCAAAAATGAATGAACGAGTCGGCAATTCGGAAAAACCACCTCATGTATCTAACCGTTCAGGTTGCCGTGAACGATCGTTCCCTGCCCGTCAAAACTGCTCACATTGCGGCACGAGGAGCAGTAGCTGATGAGAGGCGGCGGCGGCGGAGCGTTGATGGAGGTCGGGCGAGGGCTATCCCATTCCCCCGGCCGTCCACCCTGCCGACCTCCGGAGCCGGCGGCGCCGCTCTTTGCCTTAGGCAAGTCTCCCACCGGCGTTTGGCAAAAGTTGCACCTTGTTAGTTTTAACACCAAGAAGAGAGAACGATGAGACGGGTAAGAAGAAGAAAAAAAATCGACGCAGCACGCGCCTGCACTTTCCCGGGGGGTGGGTTGTTCCACGGGTACTACGTGGAGGGCCCATTGCTTCTGGAGGGGTCCAGGGTACATGTCCCCTGTCCCCTGGGGGCAACAACAATATCCCAGGTGTTTCACTCCACACCGCCGCCCCCAGAGCGAAGATCGATTGAGCCATATCCTTGCCATTGCCACCCATTACGAGTGAGTGCTGAACCTGATATTCGTATTATCGAGGTTTCTATAGGCGCATGTGCCGCTATTGGAAGTTAGAAGATGCTTGCTGTGATTGTGATGCTGGGGAAGTAAGAACTATCGTAGCCACCCGAACCACAAGTTATGGGAGAAACACGTTGCTTTAGGCATCCAAGAACCGGACTTCAGATCTCGGCACAAACCTAACGACTTGCGCCCGCTCCCATCGTCTTCTCGGACCGAAAAAAAGTAATAATGACAAAAAAAAACGCGCAATCGGTGCGAAGGAAGCTGCGCTGCACATAGGAAATCGAAAAAAAAAAAAAAACTCACTTGTTGATGCTCAACGCGGTTGCGCTGGAAATAAAGGAAACAGAAAAAAAAAAGACTCACTTGACGCGAAGGAAGTTTCGCTCAAGAGGACTCCCGCCGAAACCGTACCAGGCCTCCATCGTGGTGTCGGGGGGCCCGCCAACATCACCACTACCACCCCCACCCCCACCTGCCACGCCACCGGGTTTTCCAGAAGACGAGGAAGCGGTGGCGGCGGCAGCCGCAGCGGCGCTGGCTGCTTCCGTATCGGTGACGACGCCGGAAGCAGCAGCAGCCGTCCCCCGTGATGCGGGTTTCGCACTGGCGGAGGCGGTGGGCATGAAGGTGGCGGTGGTCGGGGCTTCGATCTTCGAGGCCAGGCCGCTGGGGGGAGGGGTGGTGGCGGAGGTAGATGACGCCGCTGGGACGACGCTTGCTAGTGCGCGGGGCGCTGGGGCTGCAAAAAGCCATCGCGAATGGTAGTAAGTATTTTTTGTCAGGCGCAACAAAGGCGGGGACGGGGACGGGGGAGGGGTCGCGGAGCTTTCAGGAGGTAAGAAGGGGGAGGGGCACGGCACTCAATAGCTTGCGCAAACAGCCACATGTACCGAGGGATCCATGCCTTTGGAGGGGTTCGAAGGGGGCTGGCTCATAACAGCTCACACAGCCGTGACGACATGTTCAGGGTCCAAGAGCCCAGCGAACCTCAACCAGCGCACAACCAAAAACTATACAGATCAAAACGGCACGCAGCCTTTTCTGCAGCGCATATGTTACTGTGTAGGGCTTGCTGTCGATCTTGACTCTTCCGTCCTAAAAAGCGAGGCACACACACAAACAACGAGCACCTCTCACACCATGGCACCACCACCAAACACAAGCATAATAGCAACGTCACAAGGATGGAGGGCGCCGCACATATTCCCGCTGGTAGGGGGCCCTGCTACCTGGGCGGGGAAGGGGGGGGGGTCGCCCGCACCTGTTGGAAGCGTTGCATGCTGAGGACGGGGCGTGTTTCTATCCCTGATGACCTCCAGTCGGGCTTCCGCCTCTGCAGACAGTGGTTCTTTCGTAAAGCTTGCCTTGGCACGCTGGCAGTACTTGGCAAACAGCCCGCTGTTGGGGGGG